GGAAGAATATCAGTTGACGTTTCGGACTCCCTGAACAGATTATAACAGATAATGGAAGGCAGTTCGTGAGCCGGAATTTTGAGAACTACCTTATCAAATGGGGAATCAAGCATTCTAGAGCATCCGTGGCCTACCCCCAGGCGAATGGCCAAGTAGAGAATATGAACCGTACCATCATGGACGGCATGAAAAAGAAGTTGGAAGAATACTCCTCATCATGGCCGGATCAGTTAAATTATATCCTATCGACTTACAGGACCACACCCCGAACGGCCACAGGAGAAACTTCATTTGCGCTTGCTTATGGCTTCCAGGCCAAAGTACCAACAGAGGTCCTAGTTCCTACACACCGAACGGTGCATTATAGCCCAGAGCGGAATGAGGACAACCTACGGGCCGAATTTCACTTCATAGAAGAAAGAAGAGATCTAGCAGCTGCACGAATGGAAGAATATCACATGGCCACGAGATGATACTTTGACAAATAAGTTAAAATTCGTTCAATCGAAGTAGGGGACCTGGTGCAAAGGAAGCGAGAAAAAAGCAAACCTCTCGAAGGCAGAAAAATGGCACAAAATTGGGAAGGCCCGTATCAAATATGCAAGAAGTATGCTTCAGAAACGTTTGGCCTACAATGTACTAAAGGTCGACTGGCAGGCACATGGAATACGGAACATTTAAGAAAGTTTTATCAATAAAAACGGCTGTTGCCACCTTTGAAAAAAAATAGAGGGAGACATAACTTCCAGAAAGCACTCATCTCAACTTTGATTTGTGGTCATTTCGGAGGACCGAACGACGAACGGATTAATAGTTTGGAGAGGACCATCATTCTCAGCTAAAAGAATTTGACCCTAGACTTACGAACGGATAAAGGGATCAAAAAGGCTTGGAGAATCGATGTTCAGAAAATCTTAGCCCATGGTTAACACACAGTCATTCCGGATGACCGAATGATGAACGGGTTAACAACATGGAAGGAAAGTCATTCTCAGCTAACAGAATTTGACCCTGCCATCATAAGAGGGATCAAAACGGCTTGGAGTTTGACGCTCAGAGAGTCTCATCTCAGTGGTTACCATGGAAATCGTTCCGGACAACCCAATGAGGAACATGTTAACAGTTTGGAGGGAGCCATTATCTCAGCTAACAGAATTTGACCCTGTAATTACGAATTGTTAAAGGGATCAAAACGGCTTGGAGTTTGATGTCAGGAAATCTCACCTCAGCTTTTAACACGCAGAATCATTCTGGATGACCGAATGAGGAACGGGTTAACAGTTTGGAGGGAGCTGAGCCATCAACTCAGCTAACAGAATTTGACCCTGTAATTACGACCGGACAAAGGGATCAAAATGGCTTGGAGATGGTGTCAAGACTATAAGTATGGACGAACCGAGCGACGTTCATATAAGGTACGGATTGTCGTCCGGGGAATCGGAACTATGTTTTTGAAAAATCTCGCCTCAGTCATTAAGTTGATTTTGAAGCGAGTCGCCCTTTTAGCTATAAGTAAGGAATAACCTGATCCGGTGACCTTGCTTACAGTTTGAAAAGGGTTACCTCAGACCCCTAATATGGATGATACGAACCAGAGAGGATTGTCCGGAATGCATCGCAATTATGGGTTTGGAAGAGAGAGAGTCTCACCTCAGCTTGTTAACACGTGGGATCATTCCGGATGGCCGAATGACGAACGGGTTAACAATTTGGAGGGAGCCGCCATCTCAGCTAAAAATTTGACCCGGTGATCACGATCAAAACGGCTTAGAGGGATTCACCTCAACTAAAAGATTTTTGACCCCGTGGATCACGAACGATAAAAGGATCAAAACGGCTTGGGAATGGTGTCAGAACTGTTAGTATATATGTCCTAGAGACAATCTCTTTTTAGAGATATATGTACTTGATCACATTCAGTTTTACATATTTGATATATACGGTATTACACATTGACGATTAAGTGTTTCGATTGTCAATATCTTATTCATAATTGTGTTCCCTTGGACTTGTGTTGTCATTAAGTAAGTGTGAGCTTATATGATATAACATAAGGTCCTAAAATAGCCCCAATCAATGATCATCAAGAATGAGATATTGATGATATGTGATAAGATTGGTATGTGGACTGCATCATACTTTTAGAAAGTATAGCTGATCTCACAACTATGAGTTCCTGTAATTCATGATGGTCACATAGATATTTTAGAGAATATTGGCATACCCACCGAGAAACCATTTGATAAGTTCTATTAATGTGTCTATGGGATTATCGGCGTATAGAGTAGTGTAATAGTCCTCCGACTTGAAATCAATACGCACTACATGTGCGGAGTGATGTACTTTGACCATGACCAACGCTTGCACTCCAATCGGGGTAGATACGGCATGTGTTGGGTGCATCACGAAGAACATAGAGTAGTAGTTGAGCCAAGAAAGAATTCATTCCTCATAATAGATTAAGAGAGAACATTCTACTTCTCATATCTAGATGGATCATAAAGTCATTGGCCAATGCAAAAATATATTCGTTTTGGATATCGAATATGATCATTATGGATCATCTAGAAAGATTGAGAGATTGAGACTAAGTTATTGGAATAGACACAATATCAAGTTCTAGACTTAGTTGAATGTTCGTTGAATGAAAGGACCGTATCACTATGAGCTCTATATTACAGGGAGTTTGTATAGTCCTCGCAAACGTCCTTATATATTAAGTTAGTCTGGAGAATCGTCTAGGGATTCGCTAAGACCTTAATTTGATTAGTGTTTAATATATAAGGCCCTATGGGTCACACAACAATTGATTATACCTTCCGATTGAATTGTTAGAAGGAATTAAATATTATTAATTGGATTAAATAATATTTAATTCGTAATACTGAAAATGAATTAAAAATTAATTAGATTTAACATATTTAATTCATAAAGTTGAAGGAGAGTTCTATTTGATAAAATTAATTAAGTCTGATAAATTAGATTTATTATACTAAATTAAGATGTATTTGTAATTAAATAAAGGTAATGTTTTCTTTTGTAATTTAGAATTAAAAAGGAAATAAAATATTATATATTAATAAAGAGAAGAGGTGAGTGGGGTGAGCCCTCCCTCCCTCTTATTACTATTGTATATTGTTTTTATTTAATTATTGATAAGTATTGGTTCTGGTAGGACTAGAACTCATTAATGAGAAAGACTTTCATTGTGATTGGGAAACTAGTTTAGAACTACTATAAATACACTCTCCTCCTTCATAATTTATAGACCAGTTTTAAGATTCAGTATTACCAGTTTATTTCCCTGCGAAGAGATTTCCTAGCCTTTCTCTTAGGGAAATCTAACCGTTCTTTCGGAAAGGAGAAATCACGTGGATACCAAAGGTCAAGGATTATCACCGCTGACTGGAAGATCTGTAAGTTCTAACTCAGATCTGTTATTATTATCATATTCGTTATTTTGTCATAATCAGGGAAGATCTGTTTGGAAAATTTTAAACTTTCGTTGTTGTACTTTCGAGGTACGTTACATCAATTTCCTAACAGTGGTATCAGAGCCAAACTGATTTTAATGACATTATACGAATTTGGATTGATATTTGTGTGGATCAAATATGTGTTTTACCGCAGATCATATTTATTTATTTATTGTCGACTTGATTTTGGAAAGTAAAATCGTTGTTTTGCAATTTGGAGTTTTATCTTTTTGATCTGCTAATTGCATAGGAGCATAGAGCACAGAAAAATGAATAAGATTCTTGTCTTCTTCTTCCGATCTGCTCGTTTGGTAAATTTTAAAAGTTTTGGGAATTTTAAAAGGGGAGGAAAATTGTTGCAGGCGTATGAAAAATACAGCTTGATTAGAGTTTGGATAATATGGAGTTTACAAGATTAGGCTGGAACTTCGCTTACTGTTGGACAGTCCTAATTGAATGGTAAAATTAGATGACCGTAATGTTTGCAAAAATTGGCTGGAACTTTATTATGTGTCTTGGAGATTAAATTGCTTAATAAATTTGGTTCGGGTAATTCTTGCCTTCTACGTAGTATATTTAGCATGCCTCAATTAATTATATTATTATGGCTTTTGAACATTAATTTATAAATTAGATTTATATTATGCTTATAAATTAGATTTATATTACATGCTTTAATTTATCTGTGTGAGTTAGATCTCGTTAACATATTATTTGATAATATGTTTTAGCATCTTGATTAAATAGAATAATTTAATATCCCGATAAATGTTCCCCATAAATTAAAATTTAAGTCTTATCTAGGATAACGATATCACCCATCATAATTAAATTAGTAGAAATATTTTTTCGTTGAAAAATATTTCACCCAAGTGTTTATTCCATTCGACAAAATATAGAACTAATTTATAGATACATATGTTTGTGATCGTGTGATGGTATTGACTTACTTAAATTAGCTCGAGTCGTCCAAGCGTCAGTGTTAATTTAGGAATGTCGATCAATTAAAAATTGATCAATCAAGAGTTGCTTGGACGCAATTGGTCTAGGGACCTACCCATTATATTATTGTAGTGATCAGCCCAAGCTGGGACTATAATAATATGAATGTGGATCTTGGCCACTATGATTGTAAAAACAATCTATGTTCTTTTTATTGGGGTCAAAGAGCATGTAAAAATAGTGGGAGCTAAATAATTAAAAGTCCATATTATTTAGTTAACTAAATGTGATCATAGGAATTATTTTATGAATTTTAATTCCGTTCTATTTCAACTTCTTTAGGCTTTTACGAATGTCGAATTTATCATTGAGAAGTATCTTGGATACATGCAAGCTTACTGGACCAAACTTTCTGGACTGGGAAAGAAATGTGCGTTTAGTTCTTAGACAAGAAAATATTGAGTATGTGTTAGACACACCGGTAGTCAAGATTCCTGATGTCAACTCTCCTAAGTTTGCCACGTTTGACCTGACTGCTCGAGAGAAACACGTCACTGATAATAAAATTGTGCAATGTGTTGTGTTGGCTGCAATGTCTATGGAGTTGCAAAGGCAACACGATAGGATGAGCGCCTTCGAGATGCTTGAACACTTGAAAAGTCTGTTTGATTTGGAAAGTCAGACTCTAGAGTATGAACTTCTGGCAGACATTTTCAAGTGTAGGCTTCAAGAGGGTGGCAACGTGTCTGAGCACGTCCTCAAAATGATTGGCTTAATTGAAAGAGTTGCTACCACCAGAATTAAGTTTGAGGATCGTGTCTCAGCTGCTATCATCCTATATTCGCTTCCAAGTTCATTTACTAACTTCATTGTGAATTATAATTTGAACAAAACGAAAGCGACCATGCCTGAAATTCATAACATGCTCAAGTCTTATGAAGCATCAATCTCTAAAGGAAAGACTGTTCTTATGGTAAGCTCTAATGCTAAGTCTCGTTCTAAGAACAAGAATAAGCAAAAGAAGAAAGGTAAGGTTGGACCTATTCCTACAGCTCTGAAGCCTAAAGGTGGAGGTCATATGAAGCCAAAGGTTGCAAAGAATGTTTGCCTTTACTGCAAAGAGAAGGGACATTGGAAGAGAGATGGTGAGCTGTATAAGGCTAATCTAGCCAAAGCACCGGGTGCTTCAAGCTCAGGTATTTTTATCATAAATAAATATGTCTATAACTAACTCTCATTGTTAAAGTGTTAGACACAACTTATGGCTTACGCATTTGTAAAATGTGCAGAAGCCTGAGAAGCAGTGTAGCAGTTGGACTGGGTAAAATTAACCTACGCGTGAAGGCTGGAGCAAAAGTTGCTGCTGAACATGATAGGATCTTATAGTTTAGATTTTCCCAGTGGTTTTAGATTAGAATTAAATAATTGTTATTTTATTCCTTCTATTACCAAGAAGATTATTTCCATTCATATGTTAGACATTAAAAGATTTCTGTTTCCATTTTGCTAATAATAATTGTTATTTTCGTAAAATGGTGTTGTTGTGGAAATGCTATTCTTATGAATGGTTAATTATCAATCGACATATTAGATATTAAATGAATAAAATAAAAGGATCTCGATTAAGTAATCAGAAAAATTACTACCTATCTATGACACTGCAAACTTGGTCAAATTAATGAAACAAGAATAGCAACGCTAAATAAATTAGATTATTTAACACCTTTTGACTTTGAGTCATATGGAAATTGTGAATCTTGTCTTTCAAGTAAATTGACTAATAAACCTTTTCTAGGAAAAAGGATAGCAAGCCAAAGAGTACTTAAGTAAAGTTTCTGATTTATTTAAAAGATCGAAGAATTCGATCATAATGAACTCCTCCAGAACTCCTCAGAAGTGTGACGTTCTGCAAGGAGAAATAGGGCCTTGTTAGACATGGCTAGATCTATGATGAATTCATTTTCTCTTCCAAATATTCTTTTGAGGGTACACACTATAAATCTCAATATGCATTCTGAATAGTTTGATTAGTGCAAAACGTACTATATGAGTTGTGCTATAATAAAAGACATTTTCTTCACATATTAAATATGGGTTGCCCTACATATGTAAAGAAATGTGCACTAATAAAATTGAAAGCTGAAGTAACATAGAGAATGAAGATTTGTTAGATGGTCTGACGAAGGATTCAGTGGGAGAATTAAGTCTCAGAATGTCTCTAGGAGGATATCCTTCAGCTAGTGGGAGTAATATAGGAAGCGCTTCGCACCAGCAAGTGATTCTTATGAAGAAAGTAATGGCATGATTGTCATTCCTTCTGCACCTAACTCTCCCTCTCTGAGTAAAGCACCAGAAACTCTCTGAGCATTGGATAGTCCAATGAAAGAGAACCTCTTCACGATCAGAATGAACAGCCTGAACAAAACGCAAAACATTCAACTTTGTGGGTCTACTAGGATTCGTCATGAACTAACTAGGTTTGACTTCCTCATGGAGGATCATGATGATGTTGAGATTCCTGATAAGGATGAACCTAAGACCTACTGATACGTTCGTAATTTCCATATTTATGTTTATGTTTTTAATTAGTTTTGCTTGACTTTTACTTTGGAAATTACACACTTTTGGTGTAATAGATTAGATTGTTAAATTCTTGTAAATAGGTTAGATTAGATATATTCTGAGCTCAAGCAGGTTTTGGTCACTCGAAGTACAGTTGGTGAACCCAAAAAGTGAAAAGAAGGTGCAAAAGTTCAAAGACAAAAGAAGATCCTGAATTTTGGTCTATACTCGGTCGAGTATTAGCTATACTCGATCGGGTATTAGGTTGGAACTTCAAATCGGATCAGATCCGAAGACAAGGGAACATGCAGGGAAGATTTCGGCCACGATTTTATGTCTATACCCGATCGGGTAGACAGACATACCCGATCGGGTATGCTTTTGAATTTCAAACGAAGATCGGTCGAGTATGGTCCGAATACCATTTTCTAAGCATACTCGACCGGGTATTCATATATACTCGATCGGGTATACTCTTAGAAAATAGCCTGAAACCGGTCGAGTATGCCTCGGATCGAGTGTTACACACGTACTCGATCGGGTACCATGTATATACCCGATCGAGTACCCGAATCCCATCCCAAAAACCTATAAATACACCTCCTTTCCTTCACAAAAAGGCATCCAATCCCTTTGTACATGTAAGCTCAGTATAGAATAGCTCTTTCTTTATATTTTTCATCATGTTTAGTCTCCAAATGAGGAGCTAAACTCTTCCATCTTGGTTTTGCTACTTTGAAGCTTAATGAATTTGTAAGTTGTGAGATATTTTCTTTAATCTTCTTTCTTGAATATTAATTCTTCCTTTCAAATACTATCTCTATATCAAAGTTGGGGAGTGTTACTAAGATGACAATTAGTTAACATCTTGACATTGGTTATAGTAATAGCTATTTCTTCCTCTATGATAATATTGAGGAGTGTTACTAAGATGACAATTAGTTAACATCTTGATATTAATCATAGTAGGATTCATATATTTTAATATTCTTCCTTGAGTATTAATTAATTCCTATTCATATTTCATGTTAATATCTTAAACATTACTTAAAGTATCAACTAGTATTGTTTCTCATATTAATTATTACTAGAATCAATCGGTTAATACGCTTGTTATTAATCCGGTTCTTTCAACGGTAGTAAACTTGGAATATTAATGCATGCATCTCATGGTTAATATGCCAAGGGGAATTAATTATATTGATTAAACCAATAAACCGCTTGTGTTGAGGGATTCAATCTCAATCGTTTTCATCTTAAGTTTATTGCTACTATCAAGTTAATATACGGCGCTTGTTCTATATTGACTCGATAGTAAGTTTTATTAATGAACGCATCTCGTTATTAATAACTACCCTCGATGAACTGGATATACTCCTCGATTGAGTATTCGAGAGGAAGATAGTTAAAGATATAACCGGGATCGACGAACATTTCATTAAGTGGATAAAAGCAAAACCAAGTCTTCATCTCATTGAATTAAACTCATATAGGTTGTTTATCTCAGTGTTTTTAAACCAAACAAATCTAAACCCCCTTTGTTACTACTTATAAAAGAAAAGTATTCCTTTCCCTGTGGATACGAACCTTACTACACTATACTACGTATTAGTGTTGTATTGATTATTTATTTTGAGTGCACCTAACGACAAGTGCACGTCACCTACACTAAAGCAATATTAGATGTTGATTTACAAAGGTGGCGAGATGTCATGAAATCTAAAATGGACTTGATGTATATCAATAAAGTATGGAACTTGGTTGACTTGCCTGTTGGGTTAGACCCATTGGATGCAAGGAATTTTCAAAGAAGAAAATTGATGCTGAAGGTGAGGTGCAAACATACAAAGCTAGACTAGTGGCTAAAGGTTATAGTCAAAGAGAAGAAATTGACTTTAATGATACCTATTCGCCAGTTGCAAAACTCAAATCCATTCGGATTTTATTTGTGACAGCTGCATACTATGATTATGAGATTTGACAAATGGATGTCGAAACCCATTTCCTTAATGGAAACCTCAAGGAGGAGGTGTACATGGTACAACCTGAAGGTTTCTGCATCCAAGTCAAATTCTAAATCACTATGTTAATTAGAGAAATCTATTTATGGGCTAAAACAAACCTCTAGGAGTTGAAATATTAATTTTGATGAAATAGTCAAATCATTTGACTTCATCAAATGAAATGAGGGTGCTTGCGTGTTTAGAGTGCGCAACAAGGATAGCGTGATCTTTTTATTCATATATGTTGATCATAGAGAATGATATCCCCTCATTGAAGTCAGTGAAAGAATGTTGACCCAAAATCTTCATGAATATCTTTTGTCTATGGTAGACAGAAAGAACTAGTAGAATTTAATTATTCTAGCAATAGTTTCATGTATGATAAGAAAGACTACGAGTCACAATCAGTATATGCTTTTAGTGTCAATGTAATAGTAATGCTGCAAGAGTTGCAAGTAAGAAACTATTGTAAATTCGACAACTAGAGCTTAGTAAAATGTTGCATTTGATGCAACATAGGTAAGCGCTTAGATATGCTAGTTCCTTAAAGAAATGGGGGTAGTTCCTAGCGACAGTTCTCCAATAATTGTTATTGTGACTGTACCGGTGCATTTGCACAAGCTAAGGAACCAAGATGCAAAGTAAGGAACTGGAAAATACCAGTATGCTATCATGTTTTGATAACAAATAGCAAAATGAGAAGTTGCAATAGAATGCCTTCCCGTAGAGGACAATTTGGCTGACCCATTCACCAAACCTTTGAGGTGCGAAAAACATTGTAGGCTTTTGAGAGTCTAGGTGTTAGACGCATTCATGATTGGCACTAGGCCAAGTGGGAGATTGTTAGTATATATGTCCTAGAGACAATCACTTTTTAGAGATATATGTACTTGATCACATTCAGTTTTACATATTTGATATATACGGTATTACACATTGACGATTAAGTATTTCGATTGTCAATATCTTATTCATAATTGTGTTCGCTTGGACTTGTGTTGTCAATAAGTAAGTGGGAGCTTATATGATATAACATAAGGTCCTAAAATAGCCCCAATCAATGATCATCAAGAATGGGATATTGATGATATGTGATAAGATTGGTATGTGGACTACATCATACTTTTAGAAAGTATAGCTGATCTCACAACTATGAGTTCCTGTAATTCATGATGGTCACATAGATATTTTAAAGAATATTGGCATACCCACCGAGAAACCATTTGATAAGTTCTATTAATGTCTCTATGAGATTATCGGCATATAGAGTAGTGTAATAGTCCTCCGACTTGAGGTCAATACGCACTACATGTGCGGAGTGATGTACTTTGACCATGACCAACGCTTGCACTCCAATCGGGGTAGATACGGCATGTGTTGGGTGCATCACGAAGAACATGGAGTAGTAGTTGAGCCAAGAAAGAATTCATTCCTCATAATAGATTAAGAGAGAACATTCTACTTCTCATATCTAGATGGGTCATAAAGTCATTGGCCAATGCAAAAATATATTCGTTTTGGATATCGAATATGATCATTATGGATCATCTAGAAAGATTGAGAGATAGAGACTAAGTTATTGGAATAGACACAATATCAAGTTCTAGACTTAGTTGAATGTTCGCTGAATGAAAGGACCGTATCACTATGAGCTCTATATTACAGGGAGTTTGTATAGTTATCGCAAACGTCCTTATATATTAAGTTAGTCTGGAGAATCGTCTAGGGATTCGCTAAGACCTTAATTTGATTAGTGTTTAATATATAAGGCCCTATGGGTCACACAACAATTGATTATACCTTCCGATTGAATTGTTAGAAGGAATTCAATATTATTAATTGGATTAAATAATATTTAATTCGTAATACTGAAAATGAATTAAAAATTAATTAGATTTAACATATTT